CAATGAAAGAAACTATTTAGCGTATTATTTTATTTTTTGTTGGATTAATTGTAATAATGGGTCTTGTTATTCCATATAATGATCCTAGTTTAGCTCATAATGATGTTAAAAAATGTAGCTGTATCACCATTTACACATGTTTTTGTTAAATCAGATATTAAACTAGCTGTACATATTATGAATGCAGTTATATTAACAACAATATTATCAGCTGGAAATTCAGCTCTTTATGTATGTACACGTATTTTATATGCTTTAGCTCATGAAGGAAAAGCTCTAAAATACTTTACTTATGTAACTCGACATAGTATTCTAATATGGTATCTTGTATTTACAGCATTTGTATCAAAAGTATTATTTGGTTTATCATTTATTGGTAATAAAATAATTTATCTATGGTTAGGTAATATAACAGGTGTAATGGGTTTTATAGCTTGGTTTGGAATATTATTAGCTCATTGGAGTTTTCGTTGAGCATTTGTTTTAGGACAAGGTTATTCAGTATTTACCACACATCCATTTAATTTTAGTAATTTCTTAGCAGCTTATATAACAATACGCGTTTTTTTGATTGTTTTTTTTAGTTTATAAATTTGCTAAAAAGACACGTTTTATACCTTTAAGAGAAATTGATCTTGCAACTGACAGCATTATGTTTCATCAAACACAACAAGCATCTAATATTTAAAATTTATGATTTTTTTTTCTGAAACAAAATAAATAATCCAATGTTATTATTTAAATAAGTTAGTTAATTTATTTTCAACCAAAACAATAATTATTTTAATAAAATTATAAAATGATCAAGACTTAGTAACAAGCAGAAATTTATTATATTGAAATAAAAGGGTGGGTGTGAGTGTGGATATTTTCTTCATCTACATCCACACCCACACCCTTTAATCTCTAGAAAAGTATTCTGTACTAGTTATAGTTTCATTTGAAGCATAACAATCAATCATAAATCTCAGTGTTAAGCCCTTGTTACTCTAATTAAATGTTCAAAATAGAGTTTCAGATTCTGTCATTCTCTTCGTCGAATGTTCGAATCAACTGTTCATCTTCTTATTGTATGATCTCTCTCTTGTACTGTTTAGTCAAAATAAGATCAAGAAACGAAGTGAACTGGACATAATGGCATTTCTAAAATAGCCGATCATGACTTGTGCAATGGTTAGTTGTCTCTCTTTCTCCATTTTTCTGGTTGTCTGTTTCTAACTGTTGGTGAAAAAGACAACACATACATAATGTATTTAGAAGGCTTACCAAATGAAATTCTGCTTGATTATTTGTTTATTTGAATGCTACAGGTCTTTTTCATAAATTTTATTGTACTTTCGATCTGAAATGTCAACAACATTTACCACTGATTGCTGATCGAGTCATTGCTCTTCGACTATAGAATTACAAGACTATAGAACAATATGATTTATTCGTTTCTTATGTACCGTCATTTCGTCAATTGACTTGCTTACGATCATTAACAATACAGAAACTTCGTTCATACAAAGTATTCATAGAACTTCTAAATAAATTGTCATCAACTCGATAGTCTTATTTGTTTAAATGGAAACCATTGCTATTTTTCAATAGAACAAGCTAATTTTTCATTGCTTATTGACAAGATTTGGAGTTACCAAAGCTTACTGATTGTCATTTTGGCAATCATATTGGAAGACCATACTATTTTAGAGATACCAATAATTATGTTCCTATCACTCGACTACATAACAATATTTCACAGCGAACTTTCATCGAATCAAATAAATCGATTGCTTGATTATACATCTCGTTTAAAACGTCTTTCGACAATAGTCAGGAATGTGAACAATAATGATCATATAATATCTTCACATTCAAAATTTATTCAATTAGGGTGTGGGTGTAGGTATGAGTTTCCTTAACACATCAATCACACCCACATCCACACCTACATCCACCCACACCCCACACCCACACCTACACCCACACCCACCCACACCCACACCCACACCCACACCCAAGGAAAGAAAAGGAAGAAATATCCAACATAAGCGAATGACACTATAACAGCCAGTTTATCTTGTAATAACACGGAGTGCATGCATGCACTCCATTCGTTTTTCTCTTGCGTTCTGCTTTTCTTACGCACTTATCAAACAACTACGAAAAAGAAAGAAAAATTAAAGCCTTCTTACACAATTACAAGTTGGAAAAAATGCACTAGTGGGGAAAAATCCAATTGCATATATATAATATATATACTATTATATAAAAAGAGGTAGATTAAAATACACGTTAGTCGTTCAACATTTATTTTTCGTCTTAATATCGTACTTCACACAAAATAACTTTCATTGTAAGTATATGTTTCGATTGAATACCTTGAAATGTTATGAGAATGCGTCAATTTAAACACGATACATTAATAGTTGCATTTTTAATGAATTTGAGTATCTATGTTATTTTAGAAGAATTGATCGAAAAGAAATGGTAATTTTCATATGCGCTGGAACGTTTTGAATCTAGGGTATGCTCAACAGATTTTTGTACGATCTGCACCAAGTAGTTAAACATAGGAGGTAGCCATCTTTTATGCCATTTTGATGGAACAAAGTTGGTGCTTCTCAGTTGGAACTCACATTTTGCAATGTATAGCGCTGATGGAGATCAGAAAAGTATTCTCAACTTGTGTCAAAGAATGTGCACGTAAAGGAACATGTCGACGTTCATGTTCATTTAGTTTCAACTCTCGCAAGAATTGCTTCTGATCTGCTTTAGTGAAAAACAGAATAATGTTGAAGGAGCAATGTTCACAGAAAAGATATTGCATTGTGCATGTTTTTATTGTGTTGAAAAGATTTTGTTCTGTGGGAACATTTTTCTCGTTAGTTTACTAGCTTCGTTTCCCATGGAAACGAGAATGCCATTAGGTGTTGGTGTTCCCGCAGTTTTGTCGTATTTTTATAAATATTTATATATATTTATGTAACAGCTTTTTATCTTTACATAACTAACCTATTGTTTCTCCGATTATAATTATATTTTTAATTTTACGAAGTGTCACATTGCACAAAGCGTGATGTTATAAGAAGCTAGTGTGTGCTAGTAATATTTATCCTCAAATTTAAAAATCAAACTGGAATAGAAATTTTTGAAGTCTTACTGTTAGAGGTGTGAATTGATGGACTGAGTCATTACCGGAACAAATAGCGGCTTTAAGGATTTTTGATATCTAGAATCACTTTTAGAGAATGTTTCTATCTAATTTTTTAGCAGTGGGTTTTTCGACCATTGTTTTTCCTCCTTTTCCCACCTGAAAAGTTCTCGGAAATGAGAACACCTTGAAGAAATCATCCAAAAAACTCATTCCCCTCCACCGACAGACAAAAAAAAGTTGAGCATGTTCAGCCATGACCACAAGAAAAAAATGACACCATACTCACTCTCCACCGCCAATCTATGCATCGGTTTACACTTCTGCTTACCGAAGTGGGAAGAAATACAGCCCTGCACACTAAAATAAACTGTGCCGCATTATGTGTCGCATGTGTCACAACGAGCACCTCGTATCGTATTTCTTGCGTTCTTTGCTGGATATATAACAATATCTATAGCGAAGAACGCAAGAAATACGACACGAGGTGCTCGTTGCGACACAT